ATCGTTGTCTCTGAATGAATTTCAAAACAAGTTCTTCAGTGATCACTGAACAAGCTCAGTGTATGATCGCTGGAACTGAAATTACAGATACAGAAATACATCGAAGGGAAAAAGGGATTATCATCAAATCACTGAGAGAGAGGATCAACACTATGTTCTACTCGTTATGTGATACATTATTTACAAAGAGAAGTAGAATGCATAATTTAAAAGATAATGAAGGAAACTTCAAACAAAACGTCATGTGTATTCGATACTATCTATCCACAAATGTCGAAGTTAAGCAACTAAATTAAGTTCACGTGTGATATGCATTGATTATTCAATATATAAAGCATTCATTTTTTAATTTTTAATTAGTTTATTTTCCTATTATCACAATCTTCATTTTTATTATATTATTTTTTAATGGAGCTAAGAATGTGATTTACTTGTTTTTACACCATTAGATAGCTAATTTGAACTTGTGGACAAGTTGTTTTATGCTATAACATTCCTGTAGGAGTGAGCTGGTAATTTTCGGTTTTTTGAAGTGCTTATTGAACTCAGCTCCTGAACAAACATTTTGTATCTTGAAGACCACGATCTGATTAACTTTGAGAAGATTCAAGGTTGCTACACATATATTCTACTTGCCAGATTAGTTTATTTGTACTTTGTGTACCTTTTTGTTGACTTTTGGTAGCTTAAAGACCAAGTTTGCTAAAATTTACACTTTACCTCCCTCTAGCTTTGTATAAATAGAGGTGGTGAGTTTATCATTTTGGGAAGATCCAATCAACTCTAAGTTAATTGTTAAATACGTTCTTAGTTTATTTTCTTTCTTTAATATAATTCTGATAATTTTTTAAAATCTTGTCTTTACATTTCATGCACTTTACTTTCCACTATTCACATTCATTCATTTACTTTCAATCATTTACATTCATGTCTTTGCTTTATGTTCCTTACTTTTATTGCAATTTACTTTCCAAATGAGTAGCTAATTCCATTAACTTGGGTGTGAGACAAATGATGAGATTTTAAACCAAAAGAAAGTATACGTTGTTTTGCAACAACGGTTTACTATTTCATTTCAAGTTTTATAAAATCAATGACACTTCTTGACGAGTTGATCACTTTGAAAGTGTTACAATGCCATGGAATCAGAGATAAGTCACTGAATGCACGTCAATTTCAATGATATAAGAAGTATACTTGAGAAAGTTGCTAACAAATAGATTTTGTTGTTTATGTTTTTCAAAGTGATGAATTTTCGACGGGTTGGCCATTTGTTAAAATGTTAAAGTGTAGTGGACTCAGGAGAAGAGTCACTTTGAATACATTAACTTGGGTGATATGTGAATCGGCTCGAGAGAGTGAT